GGGGGGGGGGGCACGGGGAGGCCGGGCGTTACTGTGTGACTGTGGAATGGGAGGCGAGAGGGCCATGATGGCACAGTTAGAGAGAATACTCAGACCACAAAGGGGAGACCCAAGTGATAAGGTGATTGTGCTGGAGTTTGGGGGTCGAGTAGTTGGAAATATAAGGGGCTTGGATCATTTAGGACGTCCTGTTGGACAGGTAGGTGACATCACCAGCTACTTGAGCACACACCCTGTTAGAGTCCAAAGCTCTTAGGGAAGTGCTGCTGGTGCACATCTCCTGCCTCAGTTCTCAGAGCCTTCCCTGCCTTCTAGCTGAAACCACCCTGGGATGGGGGCGGGGAAGCTGGCCAATCACACCCTCTGCCTCAGGAAGTTAATTGGGAAATGCTAAGAGTGGGACCAGAAGCCCAAAGGAGAAGCAGGTAGAGAGGGAAGCCACAGAAGGCCATGTTCCAAAGACCAAGTTATGAAGAAGCCAAAGCTGCATGTGAGCTGAGGACACAAGGCACAGCTGGGGCTCTGAAGGGGTCATGATGTAGGAAATTACAGGGTCGGCCCACGAAAGAAAGTGCTGACAGTCGCTGCTGCAGAGATGAGCCTCAGAAGCACTGCTTGCGTGAGGCAAAAGAAGCCAGGCACCAAACGTCCTGTAATGTGTGACTGCACTTACATGAAGTGTCTGGATAGGTCAACCCACAGAAATAGGAAGGGAGCTAGTGCTGTCCAGCGCACTGGGGACTCGGGAGGAGAGTGTGACTGCTTACTGGGGACAGGTTTCCTTGGGGTGGCGAAAGTGTTTTTGATCCAGATGGAAGTGATGGTCGCACAACATGGCAGATGTACTAAATGACACTTTAAAACAGTGAATTTGGTTTGTGCATCCTGACAAATCACAGAAACCTCGAGCTTGGGCTCGAGCTGTCAGGAGGGATCACAAACCCCCAGCAAGCAGAAGCCGAGATAGAAACAAGATCCTGAGTAGACGCAGGAAACCGTTTGGAGCAAGAGAACAGGCCTGGAGCTCAGAAAGAGCAGGGCCTGGGGAAGAGGGAGAAGGAGCCCACGAGAGCCCCGGAGACAGAGATGGAAGCCAAGAAAGCAGGAAGCCAAGAAAGCAGAGCAAGTGGGCTCTCCATGCCATACGTGTCCCTTATCGGTGGTCCCTGTGGAGCAGTCTAATTCCTATCTTTCACCGAGCTTCCCTGTCCCAGGCCCCTTGCTGCGTGTGTTACACACTCGATCTCATGTAATTCTCTCTGCATCCCTACATGCTATGTGCCATGTACAGACTGGGCCAAAGGGGTTAATCCACGCACTCACAGCCCCGGACCTTGCCCGAGGGTGCCGGGAAATACACACAGAGAAAGGGGCACCTTGTGAAAAACAAGGTAGGTTCCTGTGGTCCACTCCCTGAGCGGGGAGCCTCCCGCACTGCCTCAGGATGCCCGGGGCCTACCTGATGGCGTAGGCCGAGGTGGAGGAGGTGATGAGGGTGCTGATCGCGTGCCGCAGGATCTGGATCTCCTGCTCAGAGAACAGAACAGGTGCCACTCTGACCTTGTCTCAGGGCCCCTGGTTCCCTGGCGGAAGCAGAGCTCCCACGCCTGTGAATCTGGAGCTTCCTAATGAGTGGCAGCAGGTAGAGGGATTTTAAAGAGGTACGAAGTCAACAGAAAGCCACCCGGATGAGCTGGCCGCGGGCTCAGAGGGCTCATCCCGGTGAGGTGCTCACACCAGAATGATCATTCCAAAGAGCACCGGCCTAACCTGATCAGATTCGGAAATCTGGGTGAACTTCATCATTGTGACCACACTTGTCTGTTTTCTGGAAACGTTTTTGCAGTTTATGAGGAAAAAGGGTACTTTCAGGAGAAAGAAGGGAGGAAATGGTATATTTTTTTACACATGTATAATGTGTAATGTATTAATGTATATGCAATATGCATATATACATATATACACATGCATGTACACAATATATAATGTGTGTATTGCCCTAGCCAGTTTGGCTCAATGGTTAGAGCGGCAGCCTATGGACTGAAGGGTCCCAGGTTCAATTCCAGCCAAGGGCACGTACTTCTACTGCAGGCTCGATCAGGCAACCAATCAGTGTGTCTCCCTCACATCCGTGTGTGTGTCTCTCTCTCTCCCACTCTCTCTGAAAAGCAATGGAAAAAATATCCTCAGGTGAGGGTTAAAAATAATATCTATATACATATATATGTGTGTGTCTATTAATAATACACATACAGCCCTGGCCTGGTGGCTCAGTTGGTTGGGTGTCGTCAAGGAGACCAAAAGGTTGCTGGTTCCATTCCTGGTCAGGGCACATGCCCGGGTTTCAGGCTAGATCCCCAGTCAGGGGGTGCAGGAGGCAGCCGATGTTTCACTCTCACATCCATGTTTATCTCTCTCCCTTCTTCTCTCTCTAAAAATCAATAAACTAGTCTTTAAATAAATAATAATAATACACATACATATACATCCAGATAACCATAAACATAATGCATACATATACGTTATGTGTATATATATACACACACGCACACACAGAAAGAAAGAAATGGCCTTGTTTTTAGGAAATACACACTAAAGTCCTTAGAGACTCAACGTCTGCTGTGTAGCCTCAAATAGCTCAGCAAGCATAATAAATTATTTTCAGTAGAGATGATAACTGCACAGAGCAAATGTGGCAAGTGCTGGATGTCGGTGAGGGACATATAGCTCTTTGCTCTGTTCTTGCAGGGAAGGGAAGGTGGCGGGAGGAAGGGAGGGCTCTTCAAAGGGCTTCAGAGGTTATTGAGAAGCCGGAGGGATGTAAATGGTTCGGCTGCTCAGTGGTTGCCCTGGGTGGTAATAGTCAAAATGACATCTCTGCCTTCTTTTCAGAGGCGCCTGCAACACCTTCCGCGCCTCTGCTCCCTCTGAACTAAAGCAACCCTGCAGCCTCGGCAACTCCAGACTCGAGGCCTGAGAATTAGAAAAAGGCAGGTGACTCTTGTCCTGTCCTTCACCCCAGGGGGGCCAACGGGCTCTGGCCTGGGGGCCTCTCACCTTCTGTAGCTTGTGGTCCAATTTCAGATAGTGATTCCTCTTCACCAGTAGGAGATCCAGCTCCTCCCGCAGGGCTGCATTCCGCACCAGCTGGATGTCAAAGCGACAGGTGACCTGGGGGCGGGGCGAGGTGTGGGATAGGATGACCCGGTCTGTCTGAGGTCTGGCCTGCCATCCTCTCCACACTCGGGCAAGGAGGGCGCACTTGTCACATACGGGCCCATTTCCAATCTGGGGACCCTGAGAGCATTGCCCAGCCCCACCTGAAGAGCCCAGGCATCAGTCTCCTTTCCCTGTGGACCCTCCATCACTGCAGGATCCTGCCTCCTGACCCCCACAAGGAGCCCAGTGTTTCAGGCCTTCCCTCCAGCATCCAGGAATCTGGTCCAGTTTCCAGAACTTG